TTTGAATGTATTTAATACGCATGGTGTTAATTCGTCTAGCTAGGTTAGTAAAATTCTGCACACCGTTTTCTAAAGATATTTATAATATTTCGGCCGGGACCCAATAGCGTCCTTGGCACAAACATTTAACAAATGTTTTTGGAGGGAAGTAATTATGTCAGGTATATGGGGATAGGCTGTGTATTCTCTATAGTAAATGTGAAGATAACACATTGTTAATAACAAGCAGGCGCCCTCTACATGACACGCTGGTTGCAAAATGAGACTAACATTCTATTTTATTTTCGACCTTTTGTCCAAGCTCTGTCAAGTTCTAGTCCGTAAAAAGCTTGATGTTGCCCAAGTACATCCCAACATTTAATTTAATTCAGTTTCATTTAATGCCCAGTAGCTAGATGATGTTTCTTCGCCACGAGCTAACCATAACCCTTCTAATTCAATCATGTATACAGATCCATTTCCCTAATTTCTCGAAATCGCGGCGGCGAGTGATGAAAAAATCGACGTCTTATAAATGAGCTGTCAATTTGCAGTGACGACCATTACTATTCGGGATTGTAATACCCTCGATAATATTTTCTTTTCTGATTTTATCAAGTAATGGCTCGACAGCAATGACACAAAGAAGTGGTGATAATGAACAGCCCTGTGTATATCCTGCGAATTTAAAACAGGGGCTGTGAGGGAGCTGTTTATTATGATCAATGATTGTGCATTATAACGGATATAGCTGATGACAGGATGAAACTCAAAAGCTTTCAAAAGTTTAAAAAGGTATTCATGATGAATCCGATCAAGAGCATTTTCCTGGTCAATCCCCAGAGAAGATGTATTAATGTTGGAATAATCAGTACAATCACGACGTAAGTTATTATTGTCATCAATGTGACGGTTTGGAATGCTGCTTTAATCAGAATATATAATTGAACCAATAACAGAGCGGAGACGTAGTGACAATGTGTTTATTTGTTGTAGTCACTACAATGCAGACTCGCAGGGCGCCAATTTTTTAATAGTGTATTGTCTCCTTTCTTGTGGACCAATGACACTTCACAATTTCTGATAGTATCCCATCAATACTATGGGTACGCCCAACAGAGAGAAGCTGGACCGTTTTTCTAAATTTATCATACGTCATCCAGGTCATCACGGTCACTTTCGCTAAGCTATGGTAAGACATCAAGAATGGTGTCTTGTGAATTTTTATCAGTGGTAACAGGGTTATACTAGTTTTTGTAAATGTTTCTAGTGATATGTAGTTTTCTTTTGTTTAAGGTGAAATATGTTATTTTTCGTACTATTCTGTTTTTCAAATTGAAAAAGTACGAGAAACATCGCATCCATGCAAAAATCGGTAGCGCGCACGCGTGTTATAAGCATTATTTTTATCATGATAGCTCTCGGGGAATGTTCCGCTTCCCATGCTGTTTTCCATATGATGAATTTCATTGGCATTCAGCATGGCTTTATTGTTTTTGTAATTGTTATTTTTTAAGTGACAATCTTGTGTTAGTCATTTTATTTTATATTTTACAATTTCCCCACCAACATTGTAGATTTATAAAACTGTTGCGATGAGTTTGCCAGTATGTATGTCAAGTAAATGTGTTCATGTATTCATCAAACCCAATAACCATCCGATAAGCACAGGCCTTGTCAACACACGAAACCAACGACATGATATTTGTTCATTCTTGAAGCAACAATAGTGTTGTTACCTTCGCCTAAATCAGCCGCTGCTTTGACACATGTTTGGACTGGAATCCCTTCAACACTTTCACAACGAACCACATGGTTTCTTGTCAGACAAATATCAGGCGTGCTCGGAGCCTTCGTTTGAACAGCCGCCATCCTGGCCACGCAGCAACAAGTAGAAACGTTAACAATGAAGCAATGTGAAAAGATGAAAAAAGACTAGCCAGTTGCCCGACAGCAGGAGCGTTCAAAAAAGCACGTTTTCTTCCGACCAGTAATATTTCTATTCATGTTTCTGTTGTTAATAGAGCACATTGTATTTAAAAATAAAATTGTATTTTAAATGTGTGATGAGTTTGTCAAGGTTTGTTCTGCTCTTAAATACTCAAACTATACTTTCTGGTTGGTCGGTATTAAGAGTTTAAATATCCCACTCGGGAAAATGTTGAGGAAGTGAACAGTAAATTGTAAAATGAACTGTCTAGGAGCTTTGTGTTTTGTGAAAGTTCGACGTAGAAAAATAGAATAAATACGAGTTGGTAACAGGATTGAAATGTTCTCATGCAGAAATACATAATTATAAGTTCGTGTGTCACGTGCACACTCTCATGCAAGTAACGTAACGTTTGTATCATAAAATGTGATCCATAATTATTTGTATTTTATATATGTATACTAGCCAGACATTTATAAATAAATAATTCAGTATCCCTAACAATTTGCCATCACGTTTTATTAGATTTTCATGTCAAACAGCTGTTAAAAAACAACAGTTTTTATTGATATAGTAACATAGAATCAACATTTGCCTCTGACAGGATTAAAACGTGGACGTTGCGTGTAACACATGTACGGGTACATAAAGCTCAAAGTAACCAGCCAAGCTTGGCACAGTCCCCGTTAGTTATCTAATTTTGCCAATGAGTACTTGTGCATGTTGAGAGATATTGATCTGAAACAACATTAATAAAAACAAAATGGCCGCCCTTCAACCAATTCGTTCTAAAAAATAAAATGGCGTGCACAAGAGACGCAAAATGTTTAATGTATGAACCATGTTTGAACATAATCCATCCACAAACGCCAAGATCCGGTTACGGATTTACGGCCATTTTGCTATTTTGAATCAGAAAGTCAAATCAATATGTCTGTATTATCTATGACATGATGTATAATGAATATTTAAAATTCGAACATATTCAGTTATAACATGGTAGAAATATGGCAAAATAGCGGCCAGTCGGCCAATTATTGTTTTCAATCTGAAAAATAAAATGACGTGCATTAAGGTCACATAGTATCCAACATATGCACCAAGTTTGATTTTGATGATATTTCAGCACAAAAAATACCGCCATTCATTCATTTTGAATCAGATCTATAAACAAATCGGATGTGCATATGTAATATTACGTATGATGCATGTGTGTAATCGGCCCAGGCATGTTAAAATACATGTCCGGAAGCACGCACGGATGCATGGATACACGGACACACATAAATCAATCCATATGTCCCCGTTTTTGGACTGCGTCCGAATGAATACTAAATATATTAATGTCGAGTCCTCGGTTGATTCAATCAGACAAAATCTTTCCTCGAGTCATGAAAATTAACTCGGGATTAAAATATATTGTTTACATATTTAGTTTCAAAACTAGTTGTTCCGCTCCGTGTGTGAATGTAATAAAGGTGTAATTTCACAAGTTTACACAAACAAGTTATGAAGTGAAATAATCTTATATTACTTTTAACTTCTTTGAAAAATATGTCTACGAAAATAATTGTAAATTGGGCATAGTTAAATAATCATACCAAATAATAAAAACATATGTTTTTTGTAG